CTTTGGGATTTCCACCACTAATTCTTTTTGTTATAATGCATCCATGGATTCCCCTAAAATCATATTATTCTTGAAAAGTTTTAGTAATGCTAAAAGAACTGGAGGTAATGTTTGCATATTAAAGTCGTCACCTCCATTTAGTTCTTTTTGGGAACATCTAACAAACTTTTAGTAGGAACACTTTGTGTAAAGAACACAGCCTTCTCCCCCTGTCCCACATAAAAAACACAAAGAGGCAATAGAAGAGAAATTACAGAAAGGCCAAGAACAATCATGGAGAAAGCACACATTCCGAGAGGCTGACTTCCTTGAAGTTTTTTCACCTCAATCCGGTGATTTTGTCACGCAGACTCCCTTGGAGTTGGTGTGGCAAGAGATAACGATACAGTATCCAATAGAATGCAAGGGAGAAACTGGATACTGCTGCCTGCAAGTCAAAGTATATACTGTTACATGGTGTGCCTTTTAGATAGGAAGTGCAATACAGTACAATACAGAGCCACTGATGTAACTGGTTCTTGTGACTGCCAAGAAAGACATGCTCATGGTACGCTATTTATACTGTGCTGTTATCTATGACTGGGATGGCTGTCACTGTGTATATAAGAGACATGAGATACACACTGCGTGTGGGACTCTGCTTCATCCATGGCCTCCCATTCTCTGATTGGGATTTCTGAACTCTCTCAGCCATGGACATCCACGTGGTTGGATGTTGCCTGAACGGCTGTAATTAAGTCATGTCTGAGTGGCTATAATTAGGTCATGTCTGGGCAGAGTTCAAGCAAAGCATTTCTCCCTTTAATAAGGTTTGCTCTCTCACAGTCCCACTATGTATTGTTCCTTTCCTTCTACTCAGAACTCTCTGTACTTCTAAAATTCAGCTTCTTCTGTTGCCCTGGAGATTATGAAGGTCTGAATTACTACCTAGTTTCAGAAGAGCGTATGTTATCACTTCAGCTTTTTACCGTTCTGTTATCATGGGAAAAATTTCTTGGCAGGCCCTGAAAAAGGGCCTACCTTTTTTTTTTTTCTCGGATAAACCTCACTGGCTACGATATTGCCACTGCGCAAAGCTAGGGCCTACCTTTTTATATGCCTCATTTCTGTCCAGTATTCAACCAAGACAGTTCTACACTAATTAATGTGTGTTCAGACATATGCCTCTGACCCATATTGATTCTGACCACAACGCACCACTGGCTCCTCCTCCACTGGCCCCACACTTGCCCCTTGGCCTGAGCCCATTATTATAGCCACTGCATCAGTCCATCATTTTTTACTTTTTTTCATTGTTTTGGTACCAAGCATGATGTTCTTCTCCAGGGACTAGTTCCTCTTGATCGTTGTTGTTATGTGCTGTCAAGTCACCTGCAACCCGTAGTGACCGTATGTACAGCAGCTCTGAACCCTGCCCTGCCCTGTCCTGATCCAGTCTCACTAATTATGACACACCTACCCTCATTGACCCAGTTACTATTGCTATCCATCTCATCTGGGGTCTTTATCTTCTGTGCCATCCCTCCACCCTTCCAAGCATGATGTCCTTCTCCAAGGACCAGTCTCTCTGGCCACATGCCCAAAGTATTTGAGACGGAGCTTCAAAATCCTAGCCTCTGAGGAGAAACTTGGTTTCACCCTCTCCAAGACAGACCTATTTGTTTTCTTGGTGGTCTATGATATATTCAAGACTCTTCTCCAGTACCACAATTCAAAGGCATCAATTCTTCTGTCATTTTTAGTCTTTGTCCAGCTCTCTGATGCATAGCAAGTAATTACGAAGACCATGTCCTGGATTAAGCGCACCTTAGTCTCTACACTGATATCTTTGCTTCTCAGTACTCTGGAGAGGTCCCTGACAGCAGATTTTTCCAGTGCAATTCATCTTTTGATTTCCTAACTGTTGGTTCTAGAGAGTGTTGATTGTGGAGCCGAGCAAGCTGTACTTATTACAACCTCAATCTCTTCTCCATCTATCATCGTGCTGCCAATTGACCCAGTGGTGAGAATCTTTGTCTTCTTGATGTTGAACTTCAATCCATATTGAAGACTAGAGTCCTTGACCTTCTGCAGCCAGTGTTTCAGGTCCTCTTCAAACATGGGTTGTTGATGAATCTTCCTCCAATCCTGACGCCATATTCTTCCTCATAAAGCCCAGCCTCCCAAATGATCTATTCTGTATATAGATTGAAAAGTTATGGAGGCAGGATGCATCCCTGTTGCACTCCTTTCCTGATTTTGAACCATTCAGTGTTTCGCTGCTCTGTTCTGAGGTCTGCTTCCTGGTCCAAGTATATATTTCACATAAGCACATTCATTGTACTGGAATTCCCATTTTCCTCAGTGTTAGCCACAGTTTGTTGTGATCCACACAGTCAAATGCCTTTGCATAGTCAATGAAACACAGATAGACATTCCTCTGGTACTTTTTTTTTTTAAGTATTTTTTTAAATCAGATCTGACTGGTACAGGAGGAAATCGTCCCTCCTTCTCCGGCAGAGCATCTTGTGGATTTGAACCGTGGATTTGATCCTCTGGTACTTTTTGCATTCTGCCAAGAGCCATCTAATTTTGGCTATGATGTACCTTGTGCCACAGCCTCTTCTAAACCCAGTTTGCACATCTGGCAGTTTTCTGTTGTTCCAGTCGTTTTTAGATAATCTTCAGCAGGATCTTGCTTGTGTGTGATATTAGTGGTATTGTTTGATAATTCTACACTCTTGTTGGGTCATATTTTTTTGGAATTGGAATAAATACAGATCTCTTCCAGTCAGCTGGCCATGTAGTCATCCTCCAGGTTTCTTGGCACATATAGTGAGCACGTCCAAGGCAGCATCTGTTTGTTGAAATACATCAGTTGGTATTCCATCAATTCCTGGGGCTTTATTTTTTGCCAACTCCTTCAGAGCAGTCTGAACTTTGTCCTTCATCACCATTACCCCTTAATCAAATGTTCTTTCTTGAAATTTGTCATCCAATTCTTTTTGATACAATGACTCTGTATATTCCTTCATCTTCTTGTAATGCTTCCTGAATCATTTAACATTCTGCCCATAGCACCCTTAAGCATTGCAACCTGTGACTTGAACTTGTTCCTTTGTTCTTGAATTCCATCAGCTTAAGATATGCCAAGCGAAAAAAAACCCAACAAATAAAAAACAACACAAGATATGCCAAGCGAGTGCAGCTCTTTTGATTTTCCGACTCCAGCTCCTTTTTCACATTTCATTATAATATTTTGCCCTCTATTCCTGAGCTGCTCTTTGAAATCTTCTGTTCAGCTTCTTAACTTTTAGATTTTTTCCCTTTGCTTCAGCTTCTCAGCACTCCAGGGCAATATTCAGTCTATTCTGATGTCCATTTTGGTCTTTTCTTCCTCCTCTGTCTGTGTAATGACCTTTTGCATTCTTCACGAATTATTTTTTGAATTATTTTTTTAATTGATATTTTATTGTAAGTTTATAAAGAACTTGGATTTCCTTATGAATTTTCTTGATAACTTCCCACAGCTCATCTGGTCTTCGTTTGTTAGTATTCAAGGCCTCAAACCTCTTTCTGAGTTGGTTTTTAAATTCAGGGGAGATAGACTCAAGATCAACTTTTGAGTCTTATGGATATGATTTAACTTTTTTCTTTTCTTAAAGTATTTTGTGTGTCTGTGTGTACTGTCAAATCAGATCTGACTGGGACAGGAGGAGATTGTTCCTCCTCCTTCAGCAGAGCATCTGGTGGATTCGAACTGCACTCCTCTGGGATTGAAGTGCAGCTTCTTGCCACTGGGCCATCAGAGCCTGCCATGATTTAACTTTTTTAACTTGAATTTGAACTTGCATCTGAGTAGTTGATGGTCTGTTCCATAATCAGCACCTGTCCTACTTTTCATTGCTGATATTGAACTTCTCCAATGATTCCTTCAACAGATGTAATCAATCTGATTCCTGTGTGTACCATCTGGTGAAATCCATGTGTATAGCCTGTGTTTATATTTCTAAGGTATTGCTGTGAATAAATCACGTTCCTCCTGATAACATGCCTGAATTATGTGTGAGCCCACCTCACTGTCTTTATTTCTGAGGTGCATTCTAAAATGACTGTCACTTCTTTTAAGATTTCTTAGTGTGTGCTTGTCATCACCTTCATTTAGAAGTTCTTTGGAGGAAAAAATATCCCAAACCTAATGATATGCAAACTTTGTGTTACTGCTTTTCATGAAAATTTCTTTAAAAAAATTTTAATTTCATGAAAAGAAATACAACAAAGCATATTATTTTGATGATTTCTTTTCCACTTGATTTTTCTACCTCATCTACCTTGCAGTCCACTTAACTCCTAAGTGTGAGTCAGTCCCTGTGTACTCATAGGTAGTCATAACGACTGGCTGACCTCTACAGAGGTCACAGTGAGTGGAGTTCTGTGGAAATAACATAAAGTTAGCAATTCTTGTCACGTCCTCCATTTTTTGTATTAGTGGTTTGATTTTTAAATTGTACATCACAGTGTTGCTTGGGTTTTAGCTGTTGGATCTTATAAGGAACTCTGGTGGCCTAGTTGGTAGGGAATTCTGCTGCCAACCTAAAGGCTGACTGTTCAAATCCACCAGCTGCTCTGCAGGATAAAGAGTCTCCAAAAACCTGCTGGAGGCCCAGCTGTGAGTTGTTTCTGACTTGAAGGCGCTTAAGACCAGCACTGGATCTTGTTAATGGGTTGGAGGCAGGTAGAGAGCATGGTACGCAGTTAACATTCTCTTGATTCGGTAATGCCTCATTGATTATCAGAGTGGGAGATATTGAAAGTACTGAACAATCCTCCACCAGTCAACATCTCTTAATTTCCTATTCTTACAGGAGGCAAGATCCCCAGGCCACTGGAGACCACACATCAGGATCTTTCCAGCTCACATATCTGGAAACAGATCACAAGCTATTTCACGAGAGATGACAATTTCGTGATAAGTGAACCTCAATTCTGTAAGCAAGGCGATTCTCCCTCTCTGGTTGCAGGAAGACCACTGTCTGTTATTCACATTGACGAGAACTCTTGCCCTTGGAAGGAGAGTGAAAAAAGTGTTGGGTGTGGCTCTGCTCTTGTCAGTCATCAGCGAGTCATTGTGAGGAGGGTCCGCTGTAAGCGTGAGGAGTGGGGGAAGGAGTTTGGTCAGAGTGCACATCTGCAGAGACGTCCGAATGTCCACCTTGGAGAGAAACCCTACAAGTGTGAGGAATGTGGCAAGCGCTTCAAGCACAGAGCAACTCTTAATGTTCACTGCAAAGGCCACCAAGGAGCGAAGCCTTATCATTGCGAGGAGTGTGGGAGAACTTTTATTTACCTCTCCTGGTTTCAGGAACATCAGAGAATCCACACTGGAGAGAAACCGTTCAGGTGTGATGCGTGTGGTAAGAGCTTCCACCACAGAGCAGCTCTCACAAATCACCGCCTGATGCACACGGGAGGGAAACCTTACAGATGTGAGGAGTGTGGGAAGGGCTTCAGTAACAGGGCAGACCTTCAAGTTCACTACAGAATGCATGTCGAAGAGAAACCGTATGATCATGACAAGGGTTTCAGCATCACCCCACAACTTCTTTCGCCTTATTTGGAGAAGCCATTCAAATGCGAAGAGTGCATGAAGTACTTTAGCACCAGATCGAAGCTGACGGTCCATCTTCGGATCCACACGGGGGAGAAACCCTATGAATGCGAGGCCTGTGGCATGGGATTCCGGCAGGTGGCCCACCTCCTGACCCATCAGCGAGTCCACAGCGACGAAAAGCCATTCAAGTGCGAAGAGTGTGGGAAGTACTTCCGCACCAGACAGATCCTCCAAGTACACTATCGGATCCACACAGGAGAGAAGCCCTATAAATGTGAGCGCTGTGGGATAGACTTCCGGCAGGCGTCCCATCTTTTTTCCCACCAGAGGGTCCACAATGGAGAAAGACCATTCCAGTGTGAGCAGTGCGGAAAGTACTTCAGCAGTAGATCCAATCTTCAGACTCATCACAGAACCCACACGGGAGAGAAGCCTTTTCACTGTGAACAGTGCGGGAAGGGCTTCAAGGTCTCCTCACAGCTGGTGACCCACCGCAGGGTCCACAGTGGAGAAAAGCCCTTCCGGTGTGGAGACTGTGGGAAATATTTCCGAACGAAAGAATACCTTCAGATGCACGGCAGAGTCCACTCCGGGGAGAAGCCCTTCACCTGTGAGGACTGCGGCAAGGCCTTCAAGCAGGCCGCCCACCTCCTGACCCATCAGCGAGTCCACAGTGGAGAGAAGCCCTTCAAATGCGAGGAGTGTGGGAAGGGCTTCACCCAGATTTCACACCGCCAAGCCCACCGCAGAGTCCACAAGGAAGAAAAGCCCTACAAATGCCAGCAGTGCGGGAAGGGCTTCAAGTGGAGCCTGAACCGGGACATGCACCAGAGGGTCCACACGGGAGAGAAATCGTATGCCTGTAGGGAATGTGGGAAGCACTTCCGCTACGCCTCGGGCCTTCAGCATCACAAGTACGTGCACACCGGGGTGAAGCCCTGCAGATGTGACATATGTGGCAAAGGCTTCACCCGACCCCCACAACTGCGATCTCACCAGCAAAGGGTTCACAGAGCAGAAGAGGTGCCCGCAGGAGACTCCTGACGAGATCACCTCTTTAAAAAAACCTCACATGTTTTCTGAAAACAAGAGGGATTTCTTCTCAGAATCCTTGCAGAAAAGACTTGTTCAAAAATAAAGTTGTTTGGTTTTTTTAAAAAAAAAACCAACCCAAACTTACATGCAAACTGAGTTTTTGTAATTTCCAAGTCTCTGAAGAGAAAACATTTGCTTTTGCTAGTCTTGAACTTTCAGCCATGCACACATTCGAGCACCTTTGTAAGTAATGCAATCAATCAGTGTTTCTCACAGGACTTAAGCATTTGTAAGACAATGAGTGAGAGATACGCCTTGGGAAGAGTAAGGGTTTGACCTGTAATAACTTGTCATGTGCTGTCAAGTTGAAACTGACCTATAGTGGACTCTCCACTGGGTTTTCAGAGGCAGTAAATTACAAGGGAGGAGCTAGCCCATTCTTCTCTCATGGAGTAGCTGGTAGATCTGCACAGTCTCTTCCTGTGTCATTTACTGCCTCTGAAAACCTGCGGGAAGGTCAGCTAATAGTCAGTTCCAACTCCAGGGCACATAACAGCAGCAATATCAGTTCCCTGAGAGTTGGAACTTTGGTGCGTTATCATTCTAGGTGTGCTTGGTACTGATTTGTTATATCAGAGGGAGGTCTTGAACAATTAAATGTGAACATTTTTATCCAGAAAGTATACCAGTAAAAATTAATATGCTTGGAAACAAACATCAGCGAAAATGCAGAAATCCACTCCATACTGTGATCTGCACTATAAATACAGCGGTAACTGTATAGGGAGCTCTGCTGTCTAACAGTCAGAAACTGTGCTGTAATCCCAAAGGCATGCAGTTCAAATCCACCAGCTGCTCTGTGGGAGAAAGATGGGCAGTCTCCTCCTATGCAATTGACAGCCTCTGAAAACACTCTGGAGAGTCAGCTAGTGTCTGGTTCTGCCTCAGTGGTAAACAGTAAGCACCATTGTTGCCTGGGGGTGCAGTGGTTAGGCATTTGGTTGCTAAAGGAAAGGTTAGAGGTTTGAATCTACCTCTGGCTTTGATAAAGTTCATAACAGTCTGTTAGTAATGCAGTCTTAGTGATAAAGATTACTAACAGCCAGGTAAGCCTGGTGGTGGCTCTGCTCCGCCCTATAGGTTTCCAGTGAGTCCAAACACAGTCATTGGAATTAGTTCCTGTCTGCTCTGTACGCAGTGGTTTTTGTTGTGTTGTGCTGTCGAATTGGAACCAAGTCCTTTGTTCCTCCGATAAGTTTTCTTCTTACTTGAAGCACTTGCATAAAGCATACATCAAATTATATTTTGTGATTTTTCTGCCAATATAAACTAAAGCTAGTTAACTTTACAAATCATTCATATTGAAAGACTGAGTAAACATTTAGTGTGCCAAGCCGGGGCTTTTCCAGTACATTTTAAAAATGGCAGAAGGCGGCAAGGCATCAGATTTAACTAGGAGGAGAATCCCCATCACCAGACAAGTTGATTGATACTGAGGTGAAGGTCAGACATATCTTTATACCTATTTTGGCACCAGCCATCCTTCTGTGACACTCTGCAAACCTGTGGTTGATAACTTCCTGCAATAAGCACAGACATCTTTCAGACTGTACCCAAGATTAGAGGGCTTATTAAAGTCACGGGTTGCAGTCAATCAGGTTAATCTTGGAAATAACAGGTACAAGTCAGGATACAGTTCTTTGATTAGGACAGGTGCTCACCTGGACCCCCTCTTGGCCTTACACCTGTTCTCAGGAAGTGTTAAAAAGCACTTTAACTCCCACCATGTGGAGTGCTTGTGAGGAAAGCAACTATTCCACCCCAGCAGGACTGCCTAATAAAGCTATCTCCTCTGAGATGGGAACCTACCAAACATGCTGACTTGGTTCTCCTGCCAGTCCTCTGGGCTGAACTTTGATCATTGTGGCCACTGCTTTCTGCCATTTGGAGTCAGTTCTAGTCTCTGTCTCCTGGTCTATAACCTCAGTGCAGTAATCCTGGGTCCACAGATCCTCTGGCTTCTGTTGATGGTAGACAAACATCCACTTGGCCTTGGGGACTGGCTTCTTTTAAACATGGTGGCATAATAGATCTGACCAGTGCCCTGCAATGGTCTGTGCACCTCATTATCATTAGCAAATTTATCTCGTCTCCTTGGTGTGCCACAAAACACAGTCTCACCCGATCATTTGGGTAAGTTACCAGATCATGGCTAGGAGGCATATAGAAAGTAACACACCACAGGGCAATACCAAGGCCAAATGTTTTTTTCTCCAATTTTTTTTTTGTTGTGATTTGGGTGGATGTCAGCCTTTCATTGACCATTGATAAATCATTGTCAGCATTTTTATTTGGGTTTATTATAAGATTTGAACTCAGGAACTATGACATATTTTAAGGACATTAATATGTCATGCACCTATCCCATATTCCTGCATGCCATAAAAAGAAAAAAATGTGATTTTTTTTTTTGCAGTACACACTAAACCCTGTTAATTTTTTAAGTTATTTCATATTATAAACGACTGAGTGAGTATTTAATGGTGTTAAGCCAGGGCTTTTCCAGGACACTTCTAAAATGCCAGAAGTAAAAATAGCATGTCATCATACATTTCCTATATTTGAACTCATTGCCATTGAATCGGAACCTTCTCATATTTGACTCTCCAAAGGATTTTCAGGAGGCTCTAAATCAGAATAGAGGAGATTGGTTGCCCATTTTTCTGTGGAGGACCTGGTGGATTTGAACCACTTGCCTTAGGCTTGGCAGTGCAACTCTAAGGAGACTTGCCATCATCAGCCGAAGATTTACTCATAAATGGTGGAGGTCAGACACCTTTTTACTAAGTTTGTGAGAGATAAGTAATAATAAATATGTTCATTATTGACACAAGATTGGTATACTTCTTTCTACTGGAAATAAGACTAGTGTTGGGAAAGGAATAGTTAATGAGTCTGAAGAAAACAAAAACAAGGCTACAAGAATCAAAATAAGACCTTGAATTTAAACATTTTAATAGCTTTGAAGCCCTGAACATTAATGATTAAAGACCAGGTACGTTGTGGAAGAGTAACTAACAAAGATACCATCCACAAAGAAAGCAAAAGGGAGAAAGAAAAGACCAAAGCAGATGTCAGAAGAAACTGAAAATTGCATTAGAACAACAAGATGCCAAACAAAGGGAGTAAGTGTCAAAAGAGTTGAATAGAAGATTTCAAAGGGCAGCCCAAGAAGACAAATCAGAGTTTTTAAAACAAAATGTGCCAAGAGGTGGAGTCAGAAAATTAAAAGAGAATTCACTCAGCATTTCTCAAGCTGAAAGAATTGAACAAATTCTCACCTTGAGTTGCAATACTAAAGGATGCTATGGGCTAAATCTTGAAGGATCTAGAAAGCATCAGAAGAAGATGGAAGGAACACACAGAGTGTATCAAAAGAATTGGCTGACCTGCAATCATTTCAGGAAATAGCATATGACCAAAAAACCAGTGGTAATCAAGGAAGAAGTTCAAGCTGCACTGAAGACACTGGCAAAAAATAAAGCTCTAGGAATTGATGGAATATGAACTGACTTGTTCCAACAAAGAGAAGCAGCCCTGCATGTGTTCACCAGGCAGTGCCAGAAAATCTGGAAGACAGCTACTTGGCTAGATGAATGGAAAAGATCCATATTTGTTCCCATCACCTTTTTTATTCCATTTATTCCCATCCCCAAATGGTAACCCAACAGAACGTAGAAACTATAGAAGAATATCATTCATGTCATATGCAAGCAAAATCTTGCTGAAGATTATTTTTAAATAGCTAGAACATTACATCAACAGAGAACTGCTAGAAATCCAAGCTTGATTTAGAAGAAACCATGACACCGGGAATAACATTGCTATTGTCGGATGTTGGCAGAAAGCAGGTTGTTTCTCTCTTTGCTATTGTGACTAATGCAGGAATAAACATGAGTGAATACAGTGCAGCTTTTTATGGATTGTGCCACTAGACCTTCCTAAGAGAGATTGTTATGTCAAGGTCATGTCATCTTAAACTCAAGGTCAAGCCAATGAATGTTATGTCAAGGTCAAGTAAGCATATCATTATATGTGACATATTAAATTCTTTCAATCCAGAATTGACTCATAGCTGACCCTCCGGAGGATTTTCAGAGACATTTAAGCCCATGGAAGGAGATTGCCCATGTTTCTGCCCTGGAGCAGCTGGTGAGTTTGAACAGATGCCTTTGGTTTGGTAGTGCAATTCCTTACCATTAGAACACCAGAGCTCCCTAAGAGAGAAATGGAGTGATATTTAAGAGATTCAGGAAATAGCAAAATGCAAATAGCCCTTGAAGCCACAGATGACAATGATCCAGAGAGAACTGTTACATTTAATGAAGAACAGAACCTATGCAGAATCCTAAAAAACAGCTATATTTAAAGGACAGAAACCTACACAGGAAACTATGCCAATCATTTAACTTTGTACTCTTAGATTCATTTTCCTCCCCCCCCCCCCCCCGCCAAGTCTCCCTTGTAAACAACATTTCCTATTGATACCCTAGCTGGATAGGGTTGGCCAATGGAGGATACTGATGGATGATAAGAAAACAGCGTGAGATGGAAAACCAGACTATTTCTCTCTCCCTTCAGTTTCTTCTCTCTGGTTCAGTTAGTGTCCCCAGCAGTTGCTGTTCATCTGCAGGTTCTTCCCTCTGTGGTGCCAACTTATGTTGAGTAGACTCACCATTTCTCTCTTTCCTAAAGGATCTCCTGCATTCTGCTCACAGCATCTTCTCCCACTGACCTTCCCGCCTTGGGGTGACCTGGGTTCTGCTCACAGCACCTCCTCCCATTGACCTTCCTTTCTGTTGCTTCTCTCTTCTCTCTTGGCATCTCAAGTTTTCCATTAGCATTGTATCTAATTCTCTATATTATCTCCGTTTCAAATGTCTAGACTAGTTTGTATTCTGATTGAACTCCAGCTGATAGAAAGATTGACAAGACAGGCAAGAATAAAG